GTGTGGCCCAGGGTGGCCTCCAGCTCATGGCAGTCCTCCTGCCTCGGCCCCCAATTGCTGAGATTTCAGGGGCACACCACCACGCCCGGCTGTCTGAACAGCTTGATGAGACCCTGTCTCAAAAAAGGTTTGGGGACAAAGCTCCTGGCACAGGGGCTGGGTGCAATCCCCAGCGCTGAACAAAACCAGAGAGACAGCCTTCAGTGCCTGTCTGTAAATGGTTCATTCAAGGGAGCAGCTTCGTCTCTCCTCCCTTATCCAGGTCTCCGAGTCCCCTGGGCCAGGCCGGGCTGCACAGCCCTGCTTCCTGATGGCATCTCCTACGGCACCCAGGGTTCCCTCTGCACTGCCAGGGAGGCTGCTGCTGGGGCCTGCGGGGGTGGGTGAGGGATGCGGGAGTGCAGGGGTTTGTGTTTTGTTTTTCTGAAATGGAGTCTCCAGTTTAGCCTGGATTGGCCTCAAACTCACAGCAGTCCTCCTGCCTCGCCCTGCCGGGTCCAACACTGTGTGAAGCCTGCTTCCCCGGGGTCTCTAAGTGGGGACGGAGACTGTTTGTTACTCTGGTTTGCTAGCAGTGGTTCGGGTTAGGGTTAGAGTTTGCTGGCAGTGGTGGGATGGGAGGAGGGACTCTCACTCTATCCAGAACCGGGGACACTCTGCTGCTGGTGGGGATGTAGCTCACTGTTGGTTTGCTTAGCTCCCACAGGGCCTGGGCTTCATCCCTGGCATTAAAAAGGGAAAAATAATCTGATGGCACAGACCAGTAGCCCCAGCTACTCAGGAAGCTGAGGCAAGAAGGTTGCCAGAGCTCCCTAGTTCAAGATCAGCTTGGACAAAATAGCAAGATCCTCATCTCCAAATACAGCCAGGTATGGTGGCGCATGCCTGTACTCTGAGCACTCTGGGCGGCAGAGGCAGGAGAGTCTCATGATGGAGTCTGGCCTGGGGAATTTAGGGAGATCCTGTCTAGAAAAAATTAAAAAGGTAGGCTGGGGAGGGCGGGCAAGGCAGTGTGTTCCTGTGGGCCAACTCTTGGGAGGCAGAAGCAGGAGGATCATAACAAGCGTGAGGCCAGCCTGGGCTGCTCAGCGAGGCCCTGTCTCAAAACCCAAAAATAAATAAAATAGCTGGAAATTAAGATGAATGAATCTGACGCTGGCTGCAAAAGGGAGTTGCAGGGGGGCAGAGAAAGTAGAGATGTGCTAGGCCCGGGTGCCGATTCCCCACCCCCCGATGATAGAGGGGCTGGGGACACAGCTCAGCGCCAAGGCCCTGGGTCCAGACCCTGTGCTGGGGAGCGCTCAGCACTTGGAGATGGAGCAGTGGGTGACTCTAGCACCCCACCTTGGGTGGGGACCCAGGGCCTCCTGGCACCTATTGTAATCCCAAATGTTGAGTTTAGTCATCCAGATATTGTAATCTTCTTTTAAGTTTTCTTCACGATCTGAAAGATTGTGTTTGTAATCCCATTGAGACGTTATTGGAATCCTAGCAAGATAATTCCAGGCTACCACCAATGCAACCCAAAGACACCAAGACATGTTCCAAGTTAAGGGCAGCCATGAGGTCCTAAGTCCAATCTCTGTGAAGACATGCGGACAAAGGCCCTGATCCTAGGCCTCTCCCAGAATTTATTATCTTGTGAAGAAGAGGGGTGGTTCTGGGATGAGTGACTGTGAGGATGGCGGGAATTACCTGAGTAACTTGAGCTGGCTGGCCAGGTGCAAGATTGGCATCTTTGTAAATTGCAGAGATAAAGATATGCAGAAGGATCAATTTATATAATTAAGGTAACAACAGAATTGTTTGGGGCGCTATTGCTTCGGTTTCTGATACACAGATTCTTGTGCCCTGGGGAGTCGTAGCCTCTTTATCTTGAGGCTCTTATGGTTGGCTGCTGGCTCTAACATCTCCCGTGCTCATATCCTGTACTCAGAGAACACCATGCAAGGAAACAGGACTGTCTGTCAGCTTTAGAGATTGTATACCAGCACCTTGGCTGGCCTTATTTGCAATGCTCAGAGCCAACTGAAGAGAGACGGAAGTATCCTAGCCAGCCTTTCACATGTTAGTATAAGGAAATGAGTCTCCAAATAAAGTCACAGTAATTGTTTTGCATTCAAGGGGGTTACTGGAGTTGTCTCCCACAGCATCGTGCAGCTGGCCTGGGACACTGGTCCGCCCCAGGAGCCACCTGAGGACACCGGCACAGATACCCAGAAATAGCCATGCCACCCAGAAGAGACCAACAGGGACACACAGGTGTGGGGGGTCCCCTAGGCAGTCCCCATCCCTGCTGGGGACAGTCCCTATCTTCCTCCCACCAGGCCAGGGAGAGGCTGCTCCCAACAGGTCTGCTGGTCAGGCCACCCCAGCTACATCACGGCCAAGATCAGACAGCCCTGCAGTGGCACAGCCCAGACCCTCGCCAGGCTACACTCGGCCGCCAGCCTGACCACGGGCTTTGCAAGTCGGTGCACATGCATTTGTGCCAGAGCTCGAACCCAGGCCTTCACGGTGAGCTGCGCCCCACCCCTCTGTCATCTTTATTTTATTTTGAGACAAGATCCAGCAATGCCACTGCATTGTCCAGGCAGGGCTTTAACTGCTGTCCTCCTGGTCCTCCTGTCACAGCCTCCTAGAGTGTTGGGTTTTGGTGTGCTTTACTGGAATCCCATCACCCACTGGAAATAAACCTGAGAAGCTGCCCAGGGTAGGGACAGGGGACAGGGGAGAGCAGCTGGGGACAGCCTCCAGATGGCCAGGGTCTCGGACCCTTGGTGTGGCTGTGCAGGGCAGGCTCCAGAGGCCTCCACATTTAAGATGCGTGCAACTGGACCAGGACAGGGTGTCATCATTAATTTTAATGAAGCAGTGAATTTGTTTTAGTTTATGGAATGATTTCCAGACAGGTCGTGTTCAGATAACCTGCTGAGTGCTTTTAGGTGGAGAAAGGATTTTTCCCTTTGTTTTTTTTTTGAAGTCCCAGGTTTGAGTGGAAGCCCAGTGATCTGAAATAGCCCGTCTTGCAGTGAAGTAAATCAAATACTTAAAGGTGAGCCTGTGGGGTGGGGACACTGAGGCTGTGGAAAGGCAGCTCTTTACACTGGAACTGGGCGGTGCCAGCTGCAGCCCGAGGACCCAGGCTGGGCGGAGCCAAGAATCTTACAGAGGAGCAAGCTGTGATTTCAGCACGACTTGTGATAGGAAAGAGTCCCCCTAGCTGCCCTGGTTCCCATCACAGCCTGCAGCTTACTGTGTCCCCCTACTTCTCACCTCCTGGTTTTGGTAACCCAGAAAAACATCTGGGAGGCTGAGGCAGGAGGATGGCAGGTTCGAGCCCAGCCAAGGCAATTTAGCAATTTAGTAAGACCCTGTCTCAAAATAAAAAAGACTGGGGAGCCGGGCGTGGTGGCTCATACCTGTAATACCTGCATTTGGGAGGCTGAGGCAGGAGGATTACTGAGTTTGAGGCCAGTTTGGGCTATGTAATGAGTTCAAGGTCAGCCTAGAGTATACATCAAAACCTTGTCTCAACAAAACAACCCCGAAGTAAATAAAAACATACTTAAAATTTAAAATTATTTTAAAAATATAGAGGGCGGGGCTGGGGATTTAGCTCAGCGGCATAAGCACCTGCCTTGGTAGCAGGCGGTGGTGAGTTCCACCCCGGTACCGATTAAAAAACCAAAAGGGTTGGAAATGTAACTCAATAGGAAGACCCTGGGTTCAATCTCCAGCATTGGGGGGGGGGGCAGTAAAAAATAAAAAAATAAACGAGGCGTGGTGGTGCACACCTGTAGGCAGAGGCATGAGGATCGTTGCGAGTTCGAGACCAGCCTGGGCTACAAAGTGAGCTCAAGGCCAGCCTGAGCATAGTGAGGCCCTGTCTCCAAAACACAAAGAAAAATGTGCAGAATAACATCAGCTTCTTTCTCGGAGGATCAGAGGTGACCAGCGCTCTGATTACTGCGGATGCACCTTTCTCACAGTCTGAAAGGACGCACTGTGCCACAGCCATTCTCAAAATCCAGGGGAAGAGAGGATACTGAGGGAGAAAAAGGCGGGCCCCAGAGGCTCCGCCCACAGAAGGGCACGCCTGCGCATCTGAAGCAGCGACGCTACTTTTGGCTCGGGCAGCCATTCTCTTCCAGTCTTCCTCAAATCGAGCATCTCTTTGCGAGGAAAGAAAGGGGTCCCCTAACTGTGCACGCAGGACTAACGGCGCTCCCCTCCCCTGCTGCCTGCACCCAAGACCTCGGGCTAGTCTACCGGGGGCGAGTCCTATTCCCTGACCTTTCCGGGCCAGGCACTGTGCGCTGGCAGCAAGCGCACTCGCAGACGTGCACCCGCTTCCGGCACCACACCTAGCACTTGGACTGCGAAGTTTCAGCCCCATGCTCTAACTGCACGTCGCGGGGTCCTGTAGCATCCACTCTTGGCCATGCCCTGTCTTTCCTTTCTGCAGATCCCAGTCATAGGGGGGCAGGGGGCTGGGACTCCAGCGACCCTGAAAGGGTGTCACATACACACCCGGGCGCCCAGGCCTGGAGAAACTGTAGATCTGAGAACATTTCAACGCCCCCATGCTTGTTATTTTTATCAGCCCTGGCTGCCTCCCCACCGGGACTCCCCTGCAGCGGCGAACTAGAATGGAAAAAGGCCTGTGTGTTTGTGTGTAGCTGTGGGGACATCGGGAAGGGGGAGTGGGGACACTGTGTCCCAGGCAGAGCCAAGTGTGGAGAAGTCTTTTGGGCCAGCGTGAGCCATAGTCCCACGGAGGGAGAAGAATCCAGACTAGGTTTGGAGGTGAGCCCCCGCCTGACTTCCTAAAGGGGTGGTAAGCTGCCTGCATCCCCAGGGAAATGGGGAATGGGTGTGGAGAAGGGACAGAGGTCTTCCGGGCCCATGGGAGCCTGAGGGCCCAGTGTAGAGTTCCCTAACAAGCCAGGGCTTGCCACAGGCCAGCCGGGGTGGGGGACGAGCACGCCAGGTGGGAGTGGGGTCATTGCACGGTTTATTTCAATACCATCAGAGGATGGGCTAGCAGGCACCACCTGCAACCTCTCCATGCATTTGGCTTCATCAAGAATTTCTCCCGAACCCCTCACTCCCCCGAGCTGTGCAAGATAGGTAAGTTCCCCCAGCCAAGAGGGTCCTGCAGGCCAGGGGCTGTAGTATGGAGTGTTGATGGAGTTGAAGTATGTGGGGCCTCCCCACCACATCCCTGGATTATAGTGAGTCCCTGGGGAAGGCCCCTGGGATTCACCTCAACCTAGGTCCTTCAGCCACAGGACTGCAGCCAGTGGGGATTCAGAGAGGGGATGGGCAGAAACAAGCATGGGACGCCAAGGCTCGGTGGTCCCATTGGACACTGAAGACTGCTCTGCTCTGACCCTGACCCTGAGCCTGAGTCTAACACCAGCCCTGGCCTAGATCCCTGAGAGTCTAACCACAAAGGTAATACAGAGTGGGGAGTGGGGCCTTGGCACCCCTCCCAGCCAGCCTGGCCCTGGGAGCCATGCTGAGTCCAGACTGGGCCCGTGTTCCTCCTCCCAGGCTGTGACCCTCCCAATAGCTGTGTCCTGGGGACAGGGGAGGACCTGGGCTGGGCAGATGGTGGTAGGAGGGGGACCCCAGGGGATTGCACAAAGCTAACATCATGGAAACCAGAGCCCGGCCTCTCATTGCTCAGGGTCCTGACCTCCCCACTGCTCAGCGCACTTGGCAAGGGGGTCCCCAGTAACTGAGGAAGGAAGCTACAGACCCCTCAAACAAGATGGAAACCCCGAGGGGCCAGTTAGCACCATGTAATGTTGGGGCTGCTGCAGCCTGAACGACCCCCCAGGAAGGGGCCCCCTGATGCTGGGGTGCCCACTTGCTAAAGCTTCTGTACTCTTGGGGTGGGGAGAACCGCTGCAGGGGAGAGGAGAGGGAGAAGTTTGGTTTGAAATGCAGGCAGGTGTCTTAGCTGGGACCCCAAAGGGCCCCCCAGGGGTCACGATGACTTGAAGAATCTTCGTATCACATACTGGCCCACCATGACAATGGCGAAGGCTGTAACCACAGTCCAGATGGGGCGGAAGGTTCCGGCCCAGTCCAGGGCTGCCACCTGCCGGGAGGGACAGGGTGGTCACAAACAGGCGGCACCCTGGGGAGCAGGGCAGCCCCGGCTTGCAGAGAGGACACTTCGGCCCTCGGCCACTCACCCAGCCGCCTTTCTCCACGATCCACCGGACCACGTTTAACTGCAGCATGCTGTCGACTACAAGCCTGGTCACCTTGCCCAGAAAGCCAGACAGGCCGTGCTGCTGGTAGACATGCAGGGCTAGGCGGTAGCCGAAGGCCAGGAGAGCCACCACGCGGCCCCAGGTGGGGCCGGGCTTAAACAGGCTGCAAGCAGCACCCGGAAGTCAGTGGAGAGTCCAGGGGAGGGGGCCCTTCAATCCACCCCAGCCCGGGACCCCTCCCCGTGTTGGGAAGCGGTAGGGCGGGGCTGTGGCAACTGCCCTGGCCTGGCCTCGGCTCGGGAAGAGCTGGGGTCTCTGTGGAAGAAGAAAAAGCTCCGGGACAAACAAGCGGGGTGCTGCGGCAGGTGTCCCCAGGGCTGCGGATGGAAGGGCGCAGAGAGGGCAGAGGAAGCGGGGAGATTACCTGTGGGTGCCGCTGCTGGCCTGCAGCCCAAGAGACAGCAGAGAGGAAAGGACAGAAGAGGTTAGGACAGGTCCCGGGGCGGGCAGTGCGGAGCGTTTCGGCGTGGAGCAGATTCTGAATATGTGGGCAGCGCTGCCTCCACTTCCACCTGTGAGCCTCCCCGACCCTGACAGCCTCACGGGCATGAACAGTGTCCACGCGCTTCGTCTGGCTCCAAAGGCCAGCGGGACCCTGCAGCTGGCGACCAGGCAGGGCTGGGAGCTGGACACCTGGTCCCCGCCCTCATTGTCCTCTATGTGCCTGGTCCCAGCACCGAAGCAGTCCTGTCTCTTTCCCAGTGGGCCTGGAACATCCTCACCCCCATCTCCCAGCCAAGGCCATGGATCAGAGCTCCTCGGAGCCTGGTGCTGACCGCATGGCTAGCGGGCGGCAATGGACTGCGGCGGGGCCCCTGCGGCTGGTACCTGCAGGCGATCTTGTAGAACAGGTCCGGGGCGTTGTCCGCCGTGGGCTGCAGCTGCTGGAGCATGGCTTCAATGTCACTGCCATAGCGCCGGTTGATGTCGTCTCCGATGATGGCCAGCTGGCAGCCCACCTGGGTCAGGGTGCTGGACAGGAAGCAGCAGTGAGCAGCTGGGCAGCCGGGCTCCTGGCAGAGCTTGCTAGGATGCGCCCGAGGTACCCGGCCCTGTGTCCCTCCCTGGGTGTCCCTGAGAGCGCCCTCAGATGTGTGCACTGGCCACAGGGGCGAGGACCTTACGTGAGCCGCTGTCCCTGTGGGCCAGGCTGAGGCTCACCTGCCCTGTCCTGGGGACAGGGTGTCCATCTCGGGGTCATCTGCTCTATCCTGCTGGTGGCGATGGTACACGTAGCTCTGGAAAACTTCCTCGGTGTCCCGGACCACCTGCTGCTCTGGAGGTCAAAGCTGGGGATCAGCAAGGGGGTGCTGGACCCCTACAGCCTGGGCTTTGTGGGTGAATCGCACCTCGCTCTCTCCAGGCCACTGCTGCCCTTGCCATGGGCAAAAAAGTCCCCGTGCAGACACCTGGTGCTCCCTGGCAGGGGGGTCTTGGCACAGGGTGGCCAGGGACTGTGTACGGGGTCACACAGCTGGGCTCAGTGGTGCCAAGGTACAAGCCCAGGTGCATCAGGCCACGAGCCCTGAGGGCTTGGGGACATGGGAGACAAACTGTGAAACTGTAGCCCTGGGCTTGGAAAGTCTCCCAGGGATAGACCTGGGCCGGAAGCCCAAGGCCAAGGAGGAGAGTCCTCAGTGCGCTGTGAGTGGGGCCCCTGGGTGGCCCCCAAAGGGCAGAGGGCAGCTTCTTCCTGGTCACAGCAGTGGTGCCCCGTTCCAGGGACCTGCGGGTGACAGCGCCCTCACTTCCTCCCAGGCAGGCGGGGTACCTCTCCTTCCCTTCTTCCTCCTCCACACCCCACCCTCCGCCCTGCCCAGCTCCCAGCTCTGCCCAGGTTCCCGCCCTTCGGGCCCAGCAGGCCACAGGCCCTGGGCGGAGACACCCGGCTCCTTCTCCCAGGCCTGAAGGGAGGCCGGAGAGGGCCTGGCACAGGAGGGTGGGCAGGCAGAAAGCGCTTACCCTCCTCAGACAGCGGGGAGGCCCCTCCGCAGCCCTCCCGGAGAGGACCTGGGCCTTGGTCTGATGCCATTCGTCAGGTCTTAGTGGGTGACAGTGGCAGCCTGCGGGTGGGGGAGAAAAGGCCCGATGGGGGTAGGCAGGAGCCGCCGGGTGGGTCCCTATGCCATGGCCATACAGGAGGGCGCCCCACTACCTCCCACGCCCAGGAACGTGTGGGTCCCAGCAGCATAGCAACAGCAGACAGACTGGAGCGTGTGCCCTGTCCAGTGGCAGCCTGGTCCCTGGGAGGACACGGCGTGGCCTGGCCATGCCCTAGTGGCACTGGGTTGGTAGCTCCTGGGTGCTCTTGGCACCCATGGCCTTGAGCTTACCAGCAGTCTGACAGGTGACCGTGAAGGCCCCTTCCTCTGGGCAGGCGGCTGCCCGGAGCGGCCCGCGCTCCAGCACGCTCACTGGCTGCAAACCCTTGCTGTGGGTCTGTGACTCCCCTACCACAGCTTTCTGGGTTTTTGGAGTCAGTGTCTTGTTCTGCACCCTAAACTGGCCTCACACCCATGATCCTCCTGCCTCAGCCTCCCCAGTGCTGGTATTACAGGCACTGGGATTACAGGAGAGCACCACCACGCCCAAGGCCGTCTTCTGTGACAGGGTCTCAATACCTAATCCAGCCATCGTTGCGCGCACACACTGGTGACCCTCCTGCCTCAGCCTCCCTAGTGCTGGCATTATAGACTTGCACCAATACGCCCAGCAGCCGAATGGAGAACCGCACGCCAGCAAAGCCCCTCGTACCCCTCTCAGTGGCAGAGAGTGAGGCACCAAGCAGGGCACTCGCTGAGGCCCGAAGACAGCGGGAGGGTCAGGTCCTACATGTGACCAGTCCCACGCTCCGCGGCCGTCGCCACAGCCCACTCCTGCCTGCCACTCCGCCACACACCTGCGCCCTGCCCTGGCCGCTGCGCCCCCTCTGCCCAGCCCCGGCCTCCCTGATGTCCGGAGGAGCATTTCCTGATGTCTGCCTTTCGGTTTCAGTTTACGCCCCATTCTGGAGCCCTGTTTCTTGCCCTCTTCCCAGTGCCTCCATCCCCGGCAGGAACTGCCCCTCCTCATCCTTGGTGAGGACCAAGATCACCCCCAGCCCCGTGCCTGCTACCCTGGCCTGGCCCAGCCCACCCACCCGCTTTCCGGGGTGGCTAGGAGCTGCCCCGTGGGCTCAGTCCTCCTGAGGGTTAGGGCCAGGGCCAGGGCCAGGGCAGACCCTCCTCCTCTCCCAGCTGGCCCCTTGCCCAGCTCCCTCACCCCAGCTGTGCCCTCCTGCCTCCCTGGTCGCCTGAATGCCGGGGTACCAGGATGGCAGGGCCTCGAGGTGCTGCTGGCATCTCCAACTCCCCCAGGGCTCCCCGGGGGGAGCAGGCAGAGAGCCTCAGAACGGTGCCCTCAAGCCAGTGGCCTGTCCCCCATCCTGTCCCCTCCTCTGAAGCCTCAACCCTAGCCCCAGCCCCAGCCCCAAGCAGTGCTGGGAAAGTCCTGCCCCACCCTTGACCTTGGCTCTGACCTCTGCTCCTGTCCCCCTAGGTTCTCAAAGGCTGGGTCCCGGTCATCCAGGGCCACCCAGAGCTGAGGAGAGGGGACACTGTCTCGAAGTGGTCCCACCCAGACAGCTCCAGTGTCCCATGGCTGACCCACCCGGACACACCCCAAATTCTGGGGCCCCACCGGCCGGCTTCCGGGGAGCTCTCGCTCCCAACTCAGGGCCGGGCGGCGGGTATGGGGGGGCTGGGGGGCTCTGCTGCTCACCTGTCGGGGTCTGGCCAGCCCAATGGCTCTGCAGGGCCAAGGTCCAAGCTTCCCGGGCAGGTGCTGGGCCCGGCTTCCTGGAACCAGCTTCCGTCAGAGCATTCCCGAGGCTGGATGCCACCTCCTGTCCCCCGAGAGGGGCCGAGAAGCTGCTCAGATCCTAGAGGTGCCCGCCACAGCTGCACTCAGCTCCCTCTAGAGGAAGTCGCCTGCGGAGGCCGGATGCGAGGGCCGGGCCGGGCCGGGAGCCCCCACCCTACCAGCTGCTTTCCCTCGGGGTGCTCACGTCTTCATTGGCTTCTCCTCTCCGGGCCAGGATTGGACGGGGCCTGGGCTCGGCCTGCCTCCCCGAGCCCTCCTCCTTTACAGGACTCAAGGTGGCCTGGACCTGTAATCCTCCTGCCTCAGCTTCCCCGAGGTGCTCGGGCTCCAGGGGTGCACCCCACACCTGGAGCCACCCTCACCTTGACCTTTCTTTTATTACTGACGACGAAAAGCCCGACTGTGAACTTAAAGGTTTAAACACTCCTCAGAAAAACCACTGTTGCAGGGGTCTCAGTCACCACCCTTGGACACAGGGGTCAGCGGCCGGGCCCATTTTACAGGGAAACAAGGTGAGGCCGCTGGGCTGGGCTGCTCATCGGATCTGCAGATGCCAGCAGTGGCAAATCTGCATTGGGACTCAGCCTGCAATTCACGCCCCACACGTGAGCCCTGGGCGCTCTCTGGAGACCTGCACCCGGCCAAGAGCAGAGATGAAGGCTGGGGGCGGTGCCATCTCCCTGGCCCGGGCCCTGGCCCCACCTTCCCCTTGCCTTCTAGAAGTTTCCAGATGCACTTGGACTCTGACAGCGCCTCCTGGTCTTGAGCTGTTGGTCCTGGGACCCCTCCGAGGCCAGGCCCCTGGGTCAGGTCAGGTCGGGGTGCCCCCTCTGTGATCTGCTTTTCCTGCTGCCTGGGTGGACAACCAAGGTGGCTGGGGCAGGAGGGATGGGGAAGTCCTCAGGCTCTGGCCCGGGAGATGAAGCAGAGATGCCCAAAGATGGGGGTGACGGGTCTCTGCTGCCCCCAGCTGACCATCTCTGGAACGTGGGGCCGCTTTGCCGGGGCCCTGGGGATGGCAGGGCTGGAGGAAGGCAGAGATGGACCTCCTTCCTCTAGACCCCAGCAGGACACCCCGGCAGGGCCTATCCAATGGACAGCTAGAGGCACACTGCCTGGGTTCAAATCCTGCCTCCGCCATGCTCTGCCCCTCTGCCTCGGTTTCCTCATCTGTCAAGCTCAAATGAGATAGCGCCCATCTCGCAGGGCAGCTGGAAGGATTAACTCAGATGCGCTTTGCCGGGCATCCGGAACTAGGGCTGGCACGTGGTAGGCACTGGGTGAAGACCACAGGGCAAGCCAGGCCCCGGGGCCCATGCCTGTAATCCCGGCATCCTGGGAGGCTGAGGCAGGGGGATTGAAGGTTGTCCTGGGCAACTTAGTGAGATTGTCTCACAATAAAGAATAAAAATCAGGTTTGGGGACTCAGCCCGTGGGAAGGTTCCTGGGTTCACCCTGGATCTGGGGGAAAAGACTGAGAACCCCACATGATCATGGCCCCCTCAGTTCAGCCCCGCCCCAGGTCCCTGCCCCTGGAGGTCCTGGACTCTCCCCAGCCGCCAGCTGGTCAGTGGCCATCACCCCTTCACAGGGGCTTCAGGTCAGCCTCCCGAGGCTGGGGCACCCCTGGATCCCCCATGGACAACCACTGCAGGGCAGGGACACACCCCCTCCACCCAGGTGCCGAGTTCCTGGCTTGGGCCCAGGGGAGCAGCACCCTCTATTGCGCTTTTGGGAGCTGCTGCTTGTCCTTGGGGTCCTGCCCTCCTCACCTACCCACGGAGCCCACCTCCCCAGCCCTACGGCTCCATACCCCGGAACCCCCAGCTGGGCGAGCGGCTCAGCGGGGCGATGTCAGTATTGACCACCAGGTGGCGCCAGAGGACCTGCGATGACCGCCGCGTGGGCCCTGCTCGTGTCCTCCGCCCTCAGGCCCTGCAGGGGCCGAGGAGTGGGGTCTCAGCGCCTCGCCCGCTCCTCCTCTCCCGGGTGCACGGCTGTGACAGAGCCCTGGAGGGTCCCCGCTCCCAATGCAGCCCAGACGGGAAGCTCAGTCACCCCGGTGGTGTACGACCTTAGCAGGTGTGGAGCCCTGGGTTCGGTTCGCAGCACAAACAAAACAAAACGAACCACCGTGGGCTGGGGATTTAGCTCAGCGGCATAAGCACCTGCCTTGCAAGCAGGCAGTCGTGAGTTCGATCCCCGGTACCGATAAAAAGGAAAAAGGCAAAAAAAAAAAAAAAAAAAAAAAAAAAAAGAACAAACTGTATATCTTATCTTTGGGCTGGGGATTTAGCTCAGCGGCATAAGCGCCTGCCTTGCAAGCAGCCAGTCGTGAGTTCGATCCCTGGTACCGATAAAAACGAAAAAGACCAAAAAAAAAAAAAAAAAAAAAAAAACCAACCGCCGTGACACGCATGCGGCGACTTCCGGGCCGACTCCCGTTTACCGCCATCTCCACTCCAGTGCGGGAACCGCGCACAGAGACGTTCCTATGGTGCCCCAGGTCGCACAGCCGGTGCCGGGGTGGGATGCAGTAACTGGTGCTCCCGCTCCTCCGCGCTCTCAAATCCACGCAGTGGGATCCTTTCCTGGGAAGGGGGTGCACTACCAGCTCCAGGTCCGGGAAGAAAGGGCCATAGCTGGGCTACTAGGAGGCTGGGGCAGGAGGACTGCAAGTTTGAGTCCCCCCCCCAACCCCAGGGCGGGAGCCTGTCAAACTTAGCAGGAGCCTGTCAAAATAAAATGTTTAAAATTTGGTTCACCTGTAAAGGTTCAATCCCTAGTTTGGCAATAACAACAACACAAAGAACGAAGAAGAAAAGAAAAGAAAAAAGAGAAAAGGCTTTGCTGGATTTGAACACGGATCTCAGATCTGAGACACATTTAATGTTTTTGTCTGATTAACAAAAATTTTTGTTTGATTTTACAGTTCTGGGGATTAAACCCAGGGCCCTTACCCTGAGCCAGCCCCCGCCAGCGCTTTTTAATCTGCATTTTGAAGACAGGATTGCACTAAGGCTCAGGCTGAGCTCCACCTTACAATTCTCCTGCCTCAGCTTCTCAGATTGCCAGGATTTGACACAAACTTGCCACCCATCTGACCAGTGGGAAGAGGTTAGTGAAACAGATTCCACCGTCCTGTTCCTTGGGTCCTTAGCAGGTTGCTAGGCTGTGACCCTGCCTTCTCCTGCTGTGGGAATATAAGAATAGTGCCTCAGTTTGCCCTGTGTTCCTGCCACAGCACAGTGGAGGTGTGCAGTGCATCCCCTCCCACCAGGCCCTCGCTGGTCTCCACATCTTGTCACTTATGATGCCATCCGTCCATGACCCAAGTCCTAGGCTGGGCCCTGGCACCCGGAGTCCCCACAGACCTCAGCCACTGCTGGCTGCAGAATCCAGCTCCACATGGGGTCCTCCTTTCTTTCCTTTAATTAAATGATTCACTGATTTGGGTTCTGAGACAGGGTCTCCCTATGCAGTTCAGGCTGGCCTTGAACTCATTTTGTAGCTCAAGCTAGCCTCAAATTCACAGCAGTCCTCCTGCCTCGGCCTCCCAAGTGCGGGGATTACAGGCTTGTGCCACCACGCCAGGCTCACCCTTTTATTTTTTATGGAGACTGAATATCCCTGACCGAATCACTTCCCACTGGTGACAAATTATCTATCACCCCCTCTGCCCTGCACGGGGGTCAGAGGCCGGCCAGACCACCTCAGCCAGACCTACTCCCACCTGGCTCTCTCTGGGAACCTCAGCACCCCCCTGGGGCTCCCAGGGGCCGGGAGACATGCGTCTTTGCAGACTGAAGGATGGGAGGGGAGCAGGAGGACGACCAGAGCCACATCTCACCATGTCCGATGGGCGCTGTCTCTCCGACTCGGGGATCGAGGTTGACGAGGCCTCTGGCAGTTCATGGAGTGCAGGCTCTGGCCAGTGGGCAGAGGGAGAGGCGAGAGACCCCAGGAGGCAGTGGGCATCGATCCTCAGGTCCCGCCTTTCGGGGCTCGGGACCCCGGCACACGCGCACACACGCGCGCATGCGCACTCACATGCACAGGTCTTCCCGGTCCTTTCTCCACCTGGATCACGACGCCCCTTTCTGTTCTTTTGTTTTTTAGCGGTGGTGGGAGGGAGCCTTTGCCTTGAGCTGCACGCAGGACCAGACCCTGCTCTCTTTTTAATTTGTTTTTTTTGTTTTTGGTGTTTTTGATACCGGGGATCGAACTCATGACCTCGCACTTGCCAGGCAGGCACTTATGCCCCTGAGCTAAATCCCCGGCTGCTTTCTTTTTTAATAAAATTTTTGAGACAGGGTCTGGCCAAGTTCCTAAGTGGCCCAAGCGCTGCAATCAAGGGCATGCGCCGCCCCTTTGTAAGTCCTCTCGGTGCCACGCCTGCTGGGTGGCGCTGGGCAGGTCCTTGCCCTCCCTTGAGCCTGGGCGCCATCTCCTCTGCAGCGAGGGTGTCGCTCTCCGGTCACGGTCACACCCACGCCTGGCACTGGGTGCTGCAGCGACCCCGGGCTCTGCCTCCGAGCGCCGTGCAGGCACTGAGGCACGGTTGTTGGAGAGGCGTCCAGGCGTCCAGGCACCTCCTCGGCCTGATCCCCAACAGCTATTGTCACAGAGGGACTGAGCTCAGGTTTAGGGAACACAGCCTTCAGCAGGGCCCCTGCTCCTGCATGGGCTCAATCGGCGAGTGCATCTGAGCCTCAGTTTCTCTCCTTGTAAAGGGGGCGATGGGGATGGACCAAGAGGCTGGGTCCACTGACTGTCGGGGCCCTGCAATGTTGGGGTGACGCACAGTGTGCCTCGCAGGCCTGGGGTGACTGCAGAAGACACACAGCTGGTTCACAAGAGCCCCATGTCCCCTCAGCCCTAATTCCACAAGCCCCCGCTCCAGGCAGGGCCCCACTTTTGGCTTTTCACGCTAGGGGCACTGACCTCAGGGTCTGCCCTCACCCTCCGGAACTCCTGAGCCATGGGGACCTGAGGAGCAATTCGGGCCCTGGGGAGTCAGGTGAGGTGGGGTTCCCACTGGCTTCTCTGCCCCCAGGGACACCAGGCTGAGGGGAAGCCCCCACTTTGGGGGTGCTGGGGACCCAAGGGAGG